AAAAAAAAAAAAAAAAAAAGAAACCAAATCAACAGAAATAGCAAGCAGGGTACACTCCCAACCACCTTAGATATTAAAATGTCAGATATAGCCTATGTGTAAAGCATGCTCACAATAAAACAGTGGAAATATAAGTAACACGTTCTCAAATATAACCTAGCTAATTTGAAAAAGAGCTAAATAACACCTTTAGAAATTAAAGCTATGGAAATAAAAGAAAAGCACAATGCATCTTTAAAACAAAAATAATTAAGAAGAATTATTAAGAGAATGTTGTGTAGGAACACATCTTGTGAAAAATGAAAATTTAAAGGATCTGAAAAAAGGAATGAAAAGCAATCTTCATCAAATAAAAGAATTAAAGGGAGAAGCAACACTCAGTGATAACGGTGATACTTTTCTAGAACACTAAGAAACATGAATGCAGGGGAACCAAAAAATGTACAACAAACAATAAATAAAATTAAATTTACTCCACTGTAGTGAGTTTCAGGACACTAAGCACAAAAGAACATTCCTTAAAACCACTCAAAAGGAAACCAAGAGGTGTGATCAAAATTTTTGGTGAATGTTCAAATCCAACTATATATGTGTTGCTGTTGATCCTCATCACTAAGCTCATCCTTGATTTGCACATACTTATTGCATCGTTCTTGCCACTTTCTGAAGCAGATCATAAATATCTTTACAAGGTATGATCAAAAGTATGGTAAATGCTGGTGTGGAGTACCATCCAATGAAAAGGCAGGCTCTTAAAAACCATACCATGTGTCATCATCCACTTATTCACTAGATCTGTCACCATGCAAGTTCTGGATCTTCTAAAAAGTCAAAATGACCACAAAAGGTAAATGTTTTGAGTGCATGCAGGACATCAAGGCAGCCACAACTGCACAACTAATGGCACTCATTCAAGAGGACTTCCAGGACTGCTTCAGAAAGTGACAAGAATGATGTGGTAAGAGTGTGTTCAAAATGGGGGAGATTATTCTGAGTGGTATTAAAGGCAATCTCTTTAATACATTTTTTAAAATTTCAACATTTGTCTTTTTTTTATCATATTTTGTACAAAGGAAATACAATTACACCAATAAAGAAGTACTCTAAAGTAACAATAGAAGAAAAATTTAAAAATGATATTTTAAGAATGAAGAGAAAGTAACTGTCAGTCTAAAATGGTTTATCTATATGTATTGGTTTGGTTTCCTATAGTTGGCACAAAATGCCTAAATCTGTAACATTTAAAGAGCAAATGGTTTATTTGGCCACAGTCTCAGTGGTTGCAGTCAATGGTTGCCTGGCTCTGAGGCAGAAACATCAAAGTGGAAGAGTGTAGGGGAGCAAAACTGCTCATTTCATGGATGCTGGGAAGCAGAGCACAGAGGAAGAGCACCAGCAAGTTATACCCATCAGATGCACAAGCCCCAGTGACCTAGCTCCAACTGGACCCCACCTCCTGACATTACATTCAACTATGAACACCAGTGAGTGGAGCCATTGATGAGTACACATCAATAAAGATTGTGCTGAATTTGTGTATTGGGTTGGGTAGTATAGACATTTAAACAGCATTAATTCTCCCAGACCATATTTATGGGATATCTTTCCATTTATTTGAGTCTTCCTTAAATTCTTTCATTGATTACTTGTAGTTTTCAGCATAAATATTTCACCTTTTTGGTTAAATTTATTTCTAAGTATTTAATGCAATTGTAAATGGGAGTGTTCTCTTGAGCCTTTTTTTGGCTTAGTTATTTTTGTTCAGCTTTGTTATTTTTGCATACAGAGTTTTATACATTGATTTTATATCCTAGAACTTTATTGAATTCATTAACTCGCTCTAGTAGATTTCTTGGTTGAATGCTTTTATTTCTTTTTCTTGCCTGATGGCTTTGGCTAGTACATCCAGTACTGTGTTAAATAGATGTGTTAAAAGCAGGCATCCTAGCTTTGTTCCAAATCTTTAAAAATTCTAGGTAATAAAATTATAAATGTATTTAAAATTCATGCTAAAAGACTTCAGTTGATCTTGCTACAAAAAATTTAAAGTATGTGAATAGACAGGTGTATTAATTTACCTCAGTGTGGTCACTTTTACTGTCCAGAGGTATCCCATTACATCTTGTTATATAGCTTAAATATATTTGATTAAATTCATTTCTTAAAGCCAAAAGAAAGTAATGGCACAGAATCTTCCTGAGAGCTTCCAGAAGGAATCAATCCTGCTAAGATCTTTGTTCTGGCCTTCTGACCTCCAGGCCAGTGAGAAAGTAAATTATGGTGTGTAAAGCACAGAGTTTGTTGCAGTTTATTACAATGTCCCTAGGAAACCAACATAAAGTCTGAACCAATCATGAGAGAAAAAAGAATAAGACATATAAGAACCAGAAAGGAAGAAACAATTATCACTGGTGTTATAATTACTATCTAGGCAAAAACTGAAATAATGTACATAAACTATTAAAATTACAAAGTATGATATATAGGATGAGCAAGACAGAGATCTAATTACAACATAAAGACTACAGTTAATAAAATTTGACTATATTTAGGAGTCCTGAGAAATGAGTAGATTTTAGCTGCTCTTGACCTAAAAACAAAAACAAGAAATAGATGACTGTCAGATGATATATATGTTAACTTGCACGATAAAAATGATATACTACCCCTCTGTATTTCCTCACCAACACAATAAAATTTACTTAAAAAAGAATTAGTATGCGGGCTTAGTATGATGTTTAGACATTGGATTAATATGTAAAAATCAATTTTATATTTATGTAATTCAAAACTATGTAATAAAGTTTTCTCCTTTATAATTACAAAAATATGGTCCCTAGAAATAAAAAAGACAAGAGACTTAGGGCAGTTCTTTCTTCACTGAAAATAGTAGAGTCTCTTTGTCAGTGTGGTGTTATTCATGAGGAAGAAGATAAAATCACATACAAATTCTACCACAATTGAGCTATAGATTTAGTACAATCCCAATCAAAATGGTATGTTTTGAGGAACTTCTTAAAATATTTCTAGAATGCAAAGGTCCCAGGGTAATCATAACAAACTAAAAAAGAGAAATCAGAATAGAGGACTTTCCCTACCAAATATCTTACATCCATTGTAAAGCCAGCCATGCAGTTAGTTTTCAATTGATCACATTACCAGTGGAGTATCTGAAAATGGAGGAGAGGAGATGATTTTGACACTACATTAGCTGAGATGTACTACTCACCAAAGATTAGCATTCTGCAGTGAAAAGAAAGTTCATACTTTGCAGTGCCTTGTTGTACTGCCTTAAATGTCAAAGTTCCTTGATTGAGAGACACTGGTCTCTAGTCATTAAGATTGTGTGGTATATATGGTTTAAGGGTAGACAAAGTAAGTAATGGAGTAGAGCAGAGGGCCTAGAAAGACCTTTGAATATGTAGAAAGTAGATATGTTAACTAAATGACACTACAGGTCATTGAGTAAAAGATAGTCCATGCAAACAATGGTAGAAGAGCCATCCAGTACCCTTATGGAATAAAATGTCTTTGATCCCTACCTGATGTTACCTTTCAAGTCAAATCTTTCAAATAGTTAAGAAAATTTAGGAATATACTTTATGTCTTTGAAAAGAATTATTGAAGAAGATTTCAAATCACTAAACAAAAAAAAAGTAACAGATGAATAGCATTAAAATGAAAAAGTTCTATTTATCAAATGAAAGTTTTTTATAACAAAATGCACAAAATGAAAAAAATGTTTGTCAAATACAGCACCAGTGAACTGTCAGTATGCACAGCATATAAAATACTTGAGTTAAAGCAATAAGAAAAAGATAAATAATCTGGTAGAAAATTAGCAAAACACCTAAAAATGTTTTTAAAGAATATACGTAATATGACAAATAACCACTGAGGAAATGTGCAGTATTATCCAGAAAATAAAAATTGATATCCTAATAAGATTTCACATTAGAAAATCAAAAAAAATTTACATTGTGGTAAAAAGACAGAAAACAATGTAAGTGTTGAGGATATAAATTGATTTAACAACTGGAAAGTGATTTGGCATTACCTCCAGCTTTGCTACCCAGTGTGTTCATATGTATGTGAAATTTAAATTCTATAAATATTATTCTTATTTTTACTCAATTATTTCACTAAAAAATTATGGTTGGGGCTCATTCAGTTTATTTCATGATCCAATAATGATTTTTATTCTATGGTTTGAAAAGTTTCTATAAGAAGATCATGTTCTACCTTGGAAACCAGCATAAAAATTCAAAGTCTTTCATAATGGCATGGCGTATAACAGAAAAATAAATCCCATGGAAAAACCTGAGTTGTCCATCTGCATAAAAATGATAATTGGGATGTAAAATATTCAGACAAATGAATATTACAGAACAATGAGTATGAGTGGAATTTTACAACCTCAGTGAACTTTAGAAATATTACTTTGAAGGATAAATGCATGACATGAATTAATAATTAATTTTTTTATGAAGCTAAATGAATAAAGTTAAACAATCTAAATTTCATAGGCATACTTGGTAAAACATCTAAAAATGAAAGAAAAAGCAAAGGAATGCTAAATTCAAAAATACAAAGTAATGGGCTCAGAAAAAAAATATGCGGATGGCTGCAGCAGAAGTAATTCATTAATCAGATAGTGGGTTGATGTTAATTAATTTCATCGTCTTACTTCCTCACCCAAATACCTAAATATTATTATTGTCTCATGAAATCTAGTTTTTAAGTGCTCAAAAACAACCCTTCAAATGTTGGAGGTTTTGAAACTTGAAATGGTTTTGAGGTGGATGCTAAAATATACTTCTTAATTTCCATCAAATAAGTAATAGATGGCAAGCGGGAGTCATGGAAGAAGTTTC